GGTTTATAAAAGAATTCAAAATAATTTGCAAATAATTTTACCAGAAAAATGAATAACTGAAAAAAATAAATTATTGTATATAAAAGCTATCCTAATGATACATAAAACCTCATAACTTCATTGAAAGCATAACTGTTACATATGAAATGAATGTACTAGATTCCATAATATAAAAAATGATGCAATATGAAGGAGTTGCACAAATGGGATGATGTCATTGTATGTACTGAAAATCAAAACGCTAAGAGTGTCATAGGAATGGAAAGCTATATGTAGGAAACACAACTGCAAGGGCAAAAAAAAAAAAAAAAATATCAGAAATGCTTTGGGCCCACCTCTGGCCCTGATGCAAGCTGTTATCCTGCTGGCATTGGCTCGTAGAGTTGGCGGATGTTTCTCTCGAAAGCGCTTGCCATACACGTTTAAATTGGCAAATAGATGCGATCCAGGGGCGGTCGGACACGCCTGCTTATCAAAGCTCAAGCATGCTCTACTGGCTTGAGATCTGGCGATCGCACTGGATAGGAAATACTGAAGAAACATGAAGACAAGCAGGTGCGCTGTGTGTGGCCGGAAATTATCCTGCCGAAATGTCTGGAGTCGAAACATTTCGAAGCGTTGTATCTCATCGACAGACCGCTGTGATGTAAGGGTGTCACTGATGACAACCAAAGGAGCCTGGCTACCAAATAAAATGACACTTATACCATAAAGCGTAGTTGTAAAGCTGTGTGGCGGAAGGCAGTTAGGTGAGTACGTCACACTGTTCTGGACGTCGTCGCTGGTCATTGAGGCTCAGTTCAAAGCGGAACTTATTGCTCATAACAATTCTACTCCAGTCGGTGAGCTCTGTCAATTGCGTTCGGGCCCACTGCAATCGTGTCTGATGGTGTGCAGTCCACACAATGACCTTCTTTACCTCAGCACCCATTCGCTGAGTCACCGATCAATGGTCACTCCAGTCACCGGTGTCTCTGTTATCCGTCGAATTAGATAAAGGTGCATCAGAGGCTGCGAGAACCGATGGGACGATAATTTCATCTTCGCGTTCTCTCGTAGTTCTCGGTCGACCGCTACCTTCTTGGCTTCGATGTATAAACCCATGGTTCTCTAATTTCTACCAACATCGTCGAATGCTATCTGTTGACGCCATCTGTGATAAATATGTAATATTTGTGTTCTAAAATGATGACGCTGATGTTGGTTTAAAGCGCCACCTTGCGACCACTTATATTGAGTTTTGAGTGTGTTCTGAGACGCCGCCGGGAGATGTGAAGTAACTATGCGGCTTTTTGAGTAATTAATAAATTTTAGTATACAGTCCATTTTGAGTTTGTGTAAAGTGATTTATTTAATTATGAATTTTACTGAACTATTGACGGGCCCATTGTTGGTCCTTAACGAGCTGGAGCTCGAATGTGTGTCAAAGTCGGAAGACAAGTATTATGGAGAAAACTTGTGGATTACTCTTAAATAGAAGGTACGTGGCGTTAATTGTAATAATTGTGTAATTGAAAAGGTAGATTCAAAATGTTTAAAAGTGCAAAAAAAAGAAGATTATCAGCGTATTGCTGTACAGCTGAACTTAGACATTTCAGAAGCGAAAACTATATTAGATTTAACTGATATAATTAAAAACAGCGAAAGCTATAAGAAGGATCCTATATTAGTTTAAGGTATAGCTAATAATATTATCGAAGAAAGGAAAAGTGACGAGAGCCGATTGCTCGAACTTGAGAAATTGAAAACGGAACGAGCGAAATCGGAACTAGAACTCGCGAAGTTGCGAGCAGAATCAAAGACTGAAAACCTCATAGAATATGAGAAAAGAGAAAATATAGAATCTCTTGACTCTCTTATTAAAAGTATACGCACATTAACAACTAAAATTCCAATTAGACAGGAAGATTGGAGTTATTTCTTTTCATCGTTAGAAAGGGCGTTCATTTCAAAAAGTGTTCCAGAGAAATTTAAATCGGATATTCTTCGAAATTTGCTGGTAGATAAAGCCACAAATGTTATTACATACATTAAAGACGATGAATTAGGAGATTATTCGAAGGTTAAAGAAATAGTGCTAAGGGAATTCGAACCATCCCCCCAAATTGTTTAGGAAATTTTAGGAAGACACAACGAATGGCGAATGAAACTTATGTGCAGTTCGCGTCTAGATTAACCACGAGTTGGGATTATTATTTGAAACTGAGAAAGGTAAATGACTTTGAAACATTAAAACAATTAATGGTTTCCGTTAAAATATGTCAAACACTTGATAAAGAGGTTATGTGTTTTGTAAATGTAAGGCAAGGAAATTCTTGGTTTAAACCTGAAGAATTGGCAGAGGACATAGATTTATATTATACATCAAAGGGAAAACCTGTAGTGGATAATTCTAGGTTAATTAATAAAAACAGTTATCCTAAAAATATGTCAAAAGTTTTTCTAACTGATATAAAAAATTCGAAATGTATTTTATCATGCGATGAAATTCAAAGCTGTCTTATGAGCAAAAGGTTAGCAGATTTGCCTTCAATTAAAGGGAGACAAAAGACTAACATTTCTGTTTCAGGAATAAATAATTTGTCTTTGAATATAAAATCTAGAGTTAGAGCAACTATTTTAAATAGAGACAAGAGTTTCGATTTAAGTTTAAATTTTTTGGTGGTTCCTAAAATAACAGAATATACGCCCTCTAGGCCTCTTGAAATTAATGTTTCATCTTTAGATAATATCAATTTAGCAGATGACAAAATTTTTTGAGCCAGGCCCAATTGAATTTCTAATAGGTGCAGAACATTTCTATGAGCTTTTAAAAACCAGGTCAAACTTCCCTTCAGGACACAAATTTAAGATTGCAAAATAGTGTTTTCGGCTATGTTGTAAGTGGGACTCTTCCTGCTAAAGGGGAAAGTAAATTACATTGTGGGGTTAGTAGAAATAATTTGGAGTTAGAAAGAGCAGTAAGAGAGTTTTGGGAAATCGAAAACGTAGAAAGAGAGTCTGAGATTTCTAAGAGTAAAGAAGCAGAAATTTGTGAACAGCATTTTCTCAAAAACTATTAAAGGACTGAAACCGGAAAATATGTAGTCAAGATACCGTTTAAGGAAGATCCAATGTGTTTACGGAATTCGAAACAAATCGCGCTTAGAGGTTGAACTCGTTGTGGACTCATTTAAGTAAGGATGAAAATTACTTATTATTGTACTCTTATTTTCTACATGAATATAGTGAACTAGGTCACATGACTGAAGTGAAAGATGAAGATGTGCAAAAGGGGAAATATTATAATCCACACCTTGGTATTTATCGCCCTGAGAAAAGTTCGACACCTTTGAGAGTAGTAATCAATGCTTCGACTGCAACGTCAAAAAGTAATTCACTGAATTCAATTCAGTATAATGGTGGTGCAATTCAAGAGGACTTGTTTTCAATTATGGTACGTTTCCGAAAACATATTTATGCTTTTACAGCGGATATCAGAAAGATGTACCGAATGATATCGATTCATCCTACTCAACGGCAGCTACAGAGAATTTTGTGGAAAGAGTTATTTAATGGTCCAGTTAAAACTTATTTATTGAGTGTGTAACAGGTAACCGTGTTACTGAGTTGAACACGGTCACCTATGGCACAGTAAGTGCACCTTTTTTAGCCATGAGAATATTACGTCAGCTTGCTATAGATGAGTTCACAAGTTTTTCATTAGCAGCTGCAGTTCTACAGAGTGATTTTTACATGGATGATGTTCTAACAGGGTCCATTTCATTGAGTTTGGCAAAAGAGCTACAGCGTGAATTAATTGAGATTTTAAAAAGTGCAACTATGACTCTGCACAAATGGTGTAGCAACAATCTGGAGCTTGCAGTTAACATTGATGATGAATACACATTTCAGTGCGCGAATGAAGTGTCAGCCCTTGGTGTTTCCTGGAAAGCAGATAAAGATTGTTTTAATTTTAAAGTGAAAATAGGAAATGAGTCTAAAATTACTAAAAGGCAAGTTTTGTCAACAATAGCGAGAATCTTTGACCCACTTGTTTATTGGGTCCCGTGATAGCTAAAGCTAAAATATTTCTTCAGAGACTAAAATATGCCAAAGGGTTTTCTAACTGATATAAAAAATTCGAAATGTATTTTATCATGCGATGAAATTCAAAAGCTGTCTTACTCAGAAAGGTTAGCAGATTTGCTTCAATTAAAGGGAGAAAAGACTAACATTTCTGTTTCAGGAATAAATAATTTGTCTTTTAATATAAAATCTAGAGTTAGTAAAACTATCTTAAATAGAGACAAGAGTTTCGATTTAAGTTTAAATTTTTTGGTGGTTCCTAAAATAACAGAATATACGCCCTCTAGGACTCTTGAAATTAATGTTTCATCTTTAGATAATATATCAATTTAACAGATGACAAATTTTTGAGCCAGGCCCAATTGAATTTCTAATAGGTGCAGAACATTTCTATGAGCTTTTAAAACCTGGTCAAATTTCCCTTCAGGACACAAATTTAAGATTGCAAAATAGTGTTTTCGGCTATGTTGTAAGTGGGACTCTTCCTGCTAAAGGGAAAAGTAAATTACATTGTGGGGTTAGTACAGATAATTTGGAGTTAGAAAGAGCAGTAAGAGAGTTTTGGGAAATCGAAAACGTAGAAAGAGAGTCTGAGATTTCTAAGAGTAAAGAAGCAGAATTTGAAGCTCAATTGGGACGATCTTCTACCTGATAAAGAAGCCAAAGAATGACAACGGTTTTTCTCTGAACTACCACAAATATGTAAATTAGAAATTAACAGATGCATTCTTGTCGCAGAAGCAATTGTTTTTAAGTTACACGGATTTTGTGATGCCTCCGAGTTAGCTTATGGAGTAGTTTATTGTAAATCCGTCTCCCAGTAAGGTGAAGTGGTGATAAAGCTGGTAACAAGCAAATCAGAAGTTTCTCCTATAAAGCAAGTTACCATACCAAGATTAGAGTTATGCGCAGCTGTATTGCTTGCGAAGTTAATGACTCGAGTAATATCTGCTCTGAAACTTAATGTGAATAATGTATTTTTCTGGAGTGACTCTTCGATAGTCTTGGCTTGGCTGAAAAAGGAGCTCTGTTGTATGAAAACGTTTGTTGCTAATCGAGTTGCGGTGTTTCAAGAAATGACGGAGGTGCGACAGTGGCATCTCGTCCCATCTAAACAGAACCCTTCGGATCTTATATCAAGAGTTGTTGATCCGGCCAAATTTCAACTGTGTGAACTGTGGTGGCGTGGTGCCCCATTTCTTCTTCAACCTGTTATGACTAAGTGCCAAGATGATATCCCTGAGGAGTCCGAAGAACTGTATCTTCGCGAATTAAAACCACCAGCAGTAAGTGAAATATATGCACTTATTAACACTTATGAGCCATTAGATGTCATCAATAATTGTTCATCTTACAACGAATTGCTAAGAGTAGTGGCTTGGTGCATAACACCAGGCATCCATTGCATGCTACACGCGGAACGTTGACAACCAGTGAACTTTCTAGTGCGTTATTGTGTATTGTGAGAAACGTTCAAAGGACTTCATTTGTGACAGAAATCCAGTGCTTAGAAAAGGGTGCTCCTATTCCTAATAGTAGTAAACTATTGAATTTGTGTCCATTTTTAGATCATGATGGAGTACTCAGAGTGGGTGGCAGACTGAAAAACAGTGACTTAAGTGAAATGAGAAAACATCCTATGTATGATTCTGCCAACTAAACATAATTTTACTGTAATAGTGATTAATAATTTTCATGTTCTTTATTTTCATGCAGGTGCTGAAACAACCCTATCACTTATAAGGAGTAAATTTTGGATTGTTTCTGCAAGAAATGTAATTAGAAAAATTGCATTTAATTGCATGATTTGTAAAAAGGTAAATTCTAGGTCTGTGCAGCAACAGATGGCTGATTTACCAGCTGCGAGAGTGACCGTATCAAGAGTTTTTGCTAAAACAGGACTCGATTTCTGTGGTCCATTTGTGGTAAAAAATTTTATAGGTAGAAGTAAACATTCAGAAAAGTATTTTTATGTATTTTTGTATGTTTCACTACGAAGGCCTTGCACTTTGAAATTGTAAATGATTTAGCAAGTGCAGCATTTACAGCAGCACTTAAACGTTTTATTGTCAGGCGAGGTAAACCCTCAGATATTTTCAGTGATAATGGCAGAAATTTTGTGAGTGCTCATAGAGAATTAAGAGCGATTTTAAAATCTTTATTTAAGGATAAAAGTGAGGAAGAAATCAAAGGTTTCAAAGGTTATTTGGCTAATGAAGGTATAAATTGGCATTTTAATCCTCCCTCTACTCCTCACTTTGGAGGTTTATGGGAAGCTAGTGTCAAATCCCTTAAATATCACTTAAAACGTGTGGTGGGAAAAACAATTCTACCTTATGAAGAATTTTTTACTCAAATTTTTCAAATTGAATCTGTACTTAATTCTCGCCCTCTTTGTCCCATATCAAATGATCCAAATGATGTAGAGGCATTGACACCTGCTCACTTTCTTATTGGTTCATCTTTAATTGCATTGCCTGAACCTAATTTTACAGAGATTCCTATAAATCGGATAACTAGATGGCAAATGGCTCAGAAATTAAATCAAAAATGTTGGAAAAAATGGTCGTCTGAATATTTAAACAAACTTTTAAATAGACCTAAATGGTATAAAGGAAAAGTAGAAATGAAGAAAGGAGATTTAGTTTTAGTAAAACATTCGGATAATTACTCTCCTTTAAAGTGGCATTTAGCACGAATTATTAAAACCCATCCAGGTCAAGATAATATTATTCGCGTTGTGACACTTAAAGATAAAAATGGAACCTATAAAAGACCAATGACAAAAATTGAACCTTTGCCTTTTGTTAATGAAAAGGTTTCAGTTACTTAAATTTTATTTGTAGTTAATTATCAAGTTTGAGTTTGTATAATTGTATAACCATTATTATTATTATCTTTGTTTGTATTTTATAACTTGTGTTATAAATTTATTGTTGAATGTAACATTCAAGGCCGGGCTGGATGTTGACGCCAGAGGCGCCATCTGTGAAAAATATGTAATATTTGTGTTCTGAAACGATGACGCTGATGTTGGTTTAAAGCACCACCTTGCGACCACGTGTACTGAGTTTTGAGTGTGTTCTGAGACGCCGCCGAGAGATGTGAACTAACTATGCGGCTTTTTGAGTAATTAATAATTTTAGTATGCAGTCCATTTTTGAGTTTTGTGTAAAGTGATTTATTTAATTATGAGTTTTACTGAATTATTGACGGGCCCAGTACCATCGCTCCGACCCAAATAAGTAGCGATCCTGCAATTTGACATCCTGCTTCTTTTAGTGGAATTGCACATCCCTTCTCAAAAGCTGATATCTGCTTATACTGTTCCAGAACCCGTCTTTCATTAGTACAGTCACATGTATATCGAAGGAACCACATTTGCATGGAAGTTAACCATTGGAATATCCTCTCTTTTATATACCATCCAAATGTTCAGTTGCGGTGTCCTTTGTGGTGCTCTGGTTACTCAGTCAATGGCTACCAAAAGTTGGTCATTCGTATACTTTGTCGTAAGGTATGGACGTACGCTATTTCGACCCATTAAAAAAAATTCCTTTTTGATGTATCGCTTTTTATTTTATGGAATATATATATATAAGCAATTTTTGTGTTCCGACACTGTGGAATTGTCTGACTCTTTTAAGGTAAAACCAGATCGCTGTGTACATGGGAAGAACGAAACTGTTGTTTTCCCCATTTACCTTAGCCACACTCGCATCTGGAAAACTCCTAGTCCTTCAGGGAGGAGGCTTGAGAAATTTCTTCTAATATACTACGAAAGGTGTGGAGCCAGTTGAAAGAAAAAGACTGATCGTCGAAAAGATACAAGATGGGTAAATGATCACAAGATTTCGGCCACTCCTGACAAATGCGTCAAACTACAAGTGGCCGAGCATTCGGTTAAAATAAAAAAATACTATTTTCTGCGCAAATCGAATTTGAATATCTATACAAGAATTTACAATAATTTAAGTAAAAAACAACCTTTAGATTTATAAAAATCAATGAAATTTGTTTTCAAATGCTGTGAAATACTGTAATTATAAGTGATTATTTTCACAACATACATTTAATTTAGTTTTTTCAATCAGCAATAATATTGATTAAATATGATGCATAAAACATGCTAATAAAACCTTTGATCACCAAAATCGTATGCAAAAATGCCTTGGACACTTCAATTAAAACCATTATTATTTATGCAGGAGTTTTAAAGTTAAGCAGATTTAAATAAACAGTTAATTTGCATAAGGTATGCGTTTTTTAATATGTGATAAGTTTCACAAAAACTATATGTTAGTTTTATGTATTTAATGCATACATACTATTACTTTAGAAAATATGAAAGAAATGCGTTTTTATTTTTAAATTTCTTCTAAATATTAAAAAGTATTTCCCTAAATACTGTAAGTACATCACGTATGATTGGTTTCTCAAAGAGAAAAACAAAAACTGAAAGAATTAAAAAATCCTAAAGCATTTTAACCTAAAGAGAAAATGAAAAAGGAAATTCTACCAAATACTTTCAAGTAATTTTTAAGTCGTATCAACTTCGCAAAGTAACGGTAAAAGCGCTGTGTATCTTAAAAATCTCCATCATTCAAAATTGTGAATAATTTATGAAAAGCAAATGAAAATGATAAATGAATGCTTTCAGATTCCTTTTAAATATTTACCTGGAAATTACCTAGCACCAAATATATTAATATTTCAGATTTAAATTAACGTTTTTTAGAAATAACAGCAAGACAGGCTTACCATGAAATATCCTACTTTTTTGTTAAAATTCAGTTATTTTTTAAATTAATTATAAGTGTAGAACTAAAAAAAATGAAACTAACATGCCACAAAGTTAATTCGGATTTTCTCTGTTAATAATTCGATTTAATTTTAAATCAGTAATGCTTCGTTTCTTTGAAATGTTTCCTTTACTGTTAATATTGGTTGCGGTAACTTTTGTTGCGTAAATAGATTCAAGCATAAATAGCTTTATTACACAAAATATTATCCTACTCAGTAGTGAATTTGCCTTATAATAAACTGAAATGATTCATAAACATTCCAGAGAATTTAAGAAAGTGCCATATTCCTTGAAAGTACTAGTAATTTTTAACAGACGATAAACGCTGACTTGGCAGTTCACTTCAGTTAGTTGTAAATTCAGTTGCTGCAAAGCTCTACTCATATATGTTTGCTTACTCATATATGATTTATTTCAGTGATGTTGTAATAGTTTTTATTTCGTATTAGTGAATTAAATCTTATTAAAACTATATTAGAATTAATTAAAATGCTCTTTAATCATTTCAGTTTATTTAATATGAATATTTTTTGTAATTTTACCTTCTTGTTTTCTATCCGACTGAATTATCCTTTGCGAAAACTATTAACTTATTTAGTCTAGTCTTCTTTGGTAGCATCAAACGTAAGAAACTCTAAAGACCTTAAATGAATTATCGCTATGTCTTGTAAACTACGATAGAGACTGAGAAAGGGTGTAAAATAACTCTTTTAACTGAATAAAAAGTTAAGAGAAGGCACCACCACTCGTGTTTATACAATAGCCAACATTTATGGTTTAAATCAAAAATAATGAGTTTGATTTAACCAAGTAAGTGTAAGTTAGTCCAACGACTACACAGATAGAGAAATCACAAGTTGACTCTGAGCTAAAGTTGGTGGACAAGTTTAATGGCGAGAATAACGCAACTCAGCAAAATACTTCTCTCAAGATACTCAATTAGCAACGTGACCTTCAACAGGCAGAGCGCGCTCTGATTATACCCTCTAAAACCTTACTTTGTATATTATATCCTTTCTTCCTCATTTGAATGCATACGAGCTACAAATTTACATTCTGGCTTGAAAACTCAAAGCGAGATGAATAGAAAAGCAAATTGACATAACTGGCTGTAAGCATATTTGGGCATTCGAAATTAATTTAAATCTCCCCAAAAATTTATTAAATTGATTACCCGATTTACACCATTTGTACCACCAATAAAACGAGCTTACGCGGAGGCTTCCCTCATGCAATTCTAAGGATGGTGAGATGAATCTGCAAAACATCCTGACAAATAAACAAAATAAATATTTGTCGTTTTTTCCGATCATCAGGGCCAAGCTTCTGAAAGCACCGTCTATCTCAGGGTTACTAAAAAAAGTGCAACGGTGGTTTGATAGCTTCTTATAATGTATCAAAGTTAATTTTTAAATCGTGAAAAGCTCATACAATGGGCGAAGAGTTGATAAAAAAAGATGTTTACTCCAAATAGTATAAAGGAGACATAAGCCTTCATCTAAGCATATAAACCGAACGTTCAAAAACTGGGTCTGAACCATTAAGCAAAGACATGCCACCTATCATACTTGATTGTTTCATTGATATTACTTCTTTTAGAGTACTTTTTGCTGTGCTTTTTTGGTTATTTAATTAAGAATGAAGCATTTTTAAACATAAAACATCGTTTAAATTTTTTTCCTGGCATTCCTCATTTCAGTTTTAACAAAAGGTATAATTACCTTCCAAGCAAAACTATCGAGTTAAACAAAAAAATTTGGTACGTAAGTCTGCTGAAAAAAAATTACTTAGAATTTTCGTCTTTTATAATTCAGAAACCTCCCTTTCCCATACCTAAATTACAGGATTTTCACAAAGGGGGGCTTTGAAAATTTTTTTGCTCCTTAGGGGGCAGCAAGTATCACTGATGGCATGGTGGAGAGATTTAATCGAATCCATCCTTAATATACTCTCGCCGATGGTTTTCAGAAAGCAGAACAACTGAGACAAGAAATTATCTAATTTTTTCTGGCCTACTGCAGTGCTGTCCACGTAGGCATAACTTTAATGCATTTTTAAAGAAGTTTCATACTGAATTTTTTATAAATCCTATAAGGTATTTTCATAAAGGATGACTCGTGGCTATCTACAGATGAATTAATAGGTGAGTTGGTATATTTTTACTAATCTGCGTAAACTCACACGGCTGTTATAGGCAGAACTCGTAAAATATGCGTTCGTAAAATAACTAGAAGGTATTTTCCTACTGTAAGAAGTGCAAAGAAATCAATTTTAAAATTAAATAAGATCAGTTTTGAAATTCCTTAGAATCCTTTAGGAATGAGGCGTACAATTTAGAAATTAGGTCAGAGATTTTCTATGTAATAACTCTTTACAAATTTAGGTATAGCTTTTATAGAGTTATGTATACAGATTCTATACAGATACGTGCCCATATCCAATTAAAATTTGTGCACACTTATGTAAAAATATTTAAAATTTTCCACAAGCTCAAGTAGAATCTTATGTGATAAGTATAGGGTCAATTAACAGAATTTTTCTGAAAATATCAGATATGCTTTATAGAAAACTAGGAACATTTTAAAAACATCATTGATACGGAAGGGTGAATAAAAAGTTCCGAACAGAGGTGATTTCTCTTTCTAATAGAAAATTTTAATATAGCTTTAGCTTCAAAAACGGATTTAATTAACATTTATTGCATTTTGAACAATTATTAAGTTTAATTAAAATTAATAGCTTAGCTTTAATCTTTTAAGGGGGCTTATACACCTTAAACCCCTTATTATCTTCCAAAATGTGACTGTTGCAAGAATTGGAATAATATATTTATTTTAAAAACAATTACTTCCAACTTTTTACAGCTGACTACATAATATAGTTGCTTTGGAAACTAGTAACCAGAAAGTTTGTGTTGCCACAAATATTTTTGTAATTTAATCCGTTTTGTGACAAAATTTTTCCTCATGTTTCCACCTTGCGCGCGTGATATTTTAAAAATGGCTAATGGTACATACTTGAAATTTGAT